AAAAAAAATAAGACTGTAGTGATTTTATTAGTGATTTAACTACAACCACTTGGGAAATACAGTTCTATGCCTCTGCACTCATCACGGGCGTAGCAGTCATGGTAATTTGGGGCTTTTTATGATTTCTCTGAACTGGACTGGAATGATTTACATCCTTAATGACATTAAAAACAATCATTTGGTGCACAGCTTTGAATCAATTTAGGATTTTCTCTAAACCACACAGGGTCATAATTCTACGTACAGGTTCAAATATATACGTACACTCACTTAAATCTTCGATTAAGGTGCTGAAGGTGAGATGAGAAACCACTTTGTCGAGGTCTGGAAGAAAGAAACCCCAAACTGTCACCCTTAGATCAGAGTACCATCTAATTAGTGGTACTGGTACATTGCACAAAGTGGGTGGAGTAATGAAGAAGTATTTCTACCTCTAAATTCTTCAACTTTAGGTCAGTTCAACAGGTAGTTGGACACAACAGAGAGTATCAGCAGGACAATGATCCCAAACAACCATGGAAACTAGTTTTGGAATGAATGAAGCAGGCGAACACTAAGCTTCTAGAAAGTCCTTCACAAACCCCAAAATTGTGGACTTTCCATAAGAACTTTGTCCATGCCAGAAAACAAACAGATTTGAATGAACTCTACCAATTCTGCCAAGAAGAGTGATTAAAAATATCCAATTGGAAGCTTGTTGATGTCTACCAAAAACATCTGGCCGAGGTGCAACTTGCTAAAATACTAAAAAATACTAAATAAAAAAACTAATAAAAATTTAATCATATATTAGTGTGATGTGTGTATGTATTTGAGCCTGTAGGTACACTTTATCCCTTTGTTGGTTAGACAAAATCCCAATAGGCTTCAAACTGGTGCACCCAATTTGGTTGTTTTTAAATCATTTAAGATATATTCAGTATAATCATTCCACCCTGGAAGCTGAACAGTTCTAAGAAATCATTAAAAGCCCCAAATTACCATGACATTCATTCCTGTAATGAGCTTAAACTTCTGACCACAACTGTGTGAGTTTGGGTGTAGCATTCATCCATCCCATCAGCATAAACGCAACATCTTAGGGATACTTCTTTTTATAACTTTGTGATCAACTCTGAAGTCTCTTTGCCTGGCCAGAACTCGAGAGTTTATGCACTAATTAGGCAAAACATTGCAATAAATTTCAAAATAAATGTTAAATTTGTAACCTTTTATATTTAACAAGTCAATGGTGAAATTTGGTGCCATAACTCAGGAACTGGTGAGCATTGGTGGTGCTTTGGTGGTTCTGTCAATCTGCCAGGCTAAAAATGTGCTTGAAGCATTCATGTTTTAACATTTTTTGCTCCTCTGTAGCAACAGCCATGACTGCTGTCATGGTTACAGCTCTGTACTCTGTCAGAATCTTTAAACATAATTACATTTATTATGTTGTACTACAAATCCTTGAATGTGAATGTGTTCACAGCCAGACAACAACATGGTTGTAATTCTAGGTATATCTTAAACTCTAATTAGAGTTTACCTAGCTTAACATTACATTATTCTCTCTAGAGAAAAACATGTCAGAATAACATGCTGTGGAAACATGTTGCTTATCCCGGGGACAGTAACAATTGTGAATGTTGCTGTTGCAGTTTGACTAGTACCTCCCTTTGACCAGAGCAGACAGGTGATTACTGGTGTGTCACAGCCTGTACTTCAGGCTCTCTGTAGTGAGTGGGTCCTCTCCCCTCAGCCCTATGCTTTGTCAAGCTCTTCACACTAACTGGATGAATATCAGCCTCCTAATGACATCTGTGAGAGTGGGATCTGTTTCCTGGCTCAGAGTACTCATCCGTCTGTTTCTGTGCAGAGATGTGTTCAATCCCCAAACACCACAAACCTGAAAATATAAGCACCAACCGGAAAACACAGCAAGTACGAGGGTCTGACAGCTGACTGCCTGTGCCATGCATCATGCTGATGAAAGATACGGCACACGGATGAGGATAAGCATGCGGAGGAAGTCTTCCTCTGCATGCTTCGTTCTTCTGTTTTGGGGTTAAAGTGTGCCTCTTTTTTAGATTACCAGTATTAGTCAAAGGGAATGGATTCATACCTACATGAGGTACAAGGGTTGGATGGCATCCAAGTTGAGTTGTTTTTTGATCCACCCAGCCTGAGTAGCGACAGATAAAATTTAAAAAAAAGTGTGTTTTGTGTATCGTTTTGCATATTGCGGAGGAGCATGCAAGTCTTTTATGTTAGATGAAAACCCTTGGAAAGACATTTTCTCAGCTTCACCTATAACTCACAGTAATCCCTCCCTTTTTTTTCTAAAATCAGTGGCATCTTCACAGCCAGATGCTCATTGATGTGTTGTTTTTGCATTTCACTTGCCAGAAATCACTTCTCAGTCAAACAATGTGACCAGTGTGTATTTTCCGTTAATGAAGTTTTTTGCTGTTTTCTTTCTGCTCCATCCGTTTCTGTTTGCTGTTGCTGCTGATTTCTCTTGAGAAAGACCTCCCAGACCTCAGTGTTTAGAGCAGGAAATCATAAAGCCTTCATCAACAGGCTATACACTAGGTTGAGTCACTGCTGTTGAGTAGCATCTATAATTGTTCGTACCAAATGTGACAGGTTACTGCGTGTATTCGTGAAGAATACCGTCAAAGAAAAATGTAATTATTTGCCTTTTTTACTTTAATGTCTCCATGGTAATCTGTCATCTCTCTCCTTGTTTTTCTTCACTTTTTCAGGTGTTGTCTCCTTTATCAGACTCAATCCTGGCAGAGAAGACTATCACAGTGGTGGATGACAAAGTGACCATCACAGAGTTGGGAGTCCAGTTGGTGACAGGCCTTTCCATGAGCCTGCAGCTCAGTCCGGGAAGTAACCGGGCCATCCTGGCTACTACAACCACACAGGAAGTCTTGCAGAGCTCCAAACAGGTCAGAATGCTTTAAGAAATTAAAAACCACAAAACTACATTAAATATGCGTAAGGGTTATTGGCTCACAAGTTTGAAAACATATTGTCTAATTGAATGAGCAAATTCATATAAATTTATACACTCACCTGCCATTTTATTAGGTATATCTTGTTAATACTGGGCTGGACCTCCTTTTTGTCTTTGGAACTGCACAATTTTTCATGGCATGAATTCAGTAAGGTGCTAGGAAACATTCCTCTGAGATTGTGGTCCATATTAACATGACAGCATCACACAATCGCTGCAGATTTGTCAGCTGCACATCCTTGATCCAAATCTGCCGTTCCACCAAATCCCAAAAAAAGCTCTCTTAGATTGAGATCTGGAGACTGTGAAGAGCATGAGAGTACAGTGAACTCGCCGTCATGTTCAAGAACCAGTTTGGATTTATTTGACTTTTGGTGTGTTATTCTGAGGGAAGCAGCCATCAGAAGATGGACACATTGTGGTCATAAATGGACATGGTCAGCAGCAATACTCAAGTAGGCTGCTGTGTTTAAGTGATGCTCAGTTGGTACTAAGGAGCCCAAAATGTGCCCAGAAAATATCCCCCATTTGAATATAACACCGGCAGGCTGAATTGTTAACAAAAGGCATGATGGAGTAATTCGCTCATATTGTTTATTCAAATTCTGACACTAACAGCAGAAATTGAGACTCATCAGTACAGGCAACATTTTTCCACTTTTGGCAAGCCAGAGTGAATTATGTGAAAAATGTTCAGATGGCTCTACAGGGAAAGGAGAAAATCTGAAAACCTGATTGTAAAACGTCATAAAGATAGGAAAAGATATTTTAGTTGACTGATGACCAAAGAAAACATCGCTTGAAACACATTCTGCTGCAATCAGGGGGAACATAAAGAGCCACATACAACTCATCAGATCTGCAGAGGCCACTGTCTTATCATCATTGTTCCTTGGCACAAAATATTATATGCAGTTACAATTATATTCATTTAAACTGTTTAAATACCCTACTATTCAACTTAGACGTAATGTAGTTACTGGAAGTGATTCAGTTTTGACACTTACAGTGCCTTTGTTGCATACAGAAAGTGGAGGTGTTTTAATAAGATAAAAAGTAAAACCAACGAATAATCGTTAATCAACTGTGATTTTCTATTAATCATGTTATCAGTTATCCATCAAAATCAAATATTTGATAGTCGATGCTCCTCAAATCTAATTTTCTTTGTCATACCTAATATCTTATTATCATCTTTCCATTTCCTTAAGCTGCAGAAAATTATAGTCAACACTTTCATGTGTTTTAATAGATAAAATGATTAATGGATAAAATGAGTGGATAATTAGCAGGTTAGCAGAAAAAGAAGATAATAATTTGGTGCAGACCCACGTATAAGAGACTTCTATGTGATTTTACTTAACAGCTCATTTCTCCTCAGAGCCTCCTTTACAAAAGTGAGCGCTGATTCTTCTCTACTAGATGAAAATTATTCACAGACCATTTAGACAGATCTGATTAAGGCAGATAATTATGTTCATTTGTTTTACATTGGCAATTATTATCACCTAGAATATTAAATGACTCTTAATTAGATGAAATAATTTTTTTTATATAAATATCAGCTGAAGCCAAAAGTGCTCAATCGCCAACTCAAATACTTTTAGGGTCTCTATAAAGTTATTTTTTGTTTGCATTACACTATCCCTAACTGTCTAAATGTGCAAAAGAAAATGAAAATAAGTGAGAGATTATAAAAAGTTATCTACATGAGGAGCGCTGCTTTGAGACAAGCTGGATGTCTTAGGACAGCAGCCCCAACCTTTTTTGGGCCACAGACCAGTTTATGTCCAACAATATTTTCACGGAACCACTACCGTACCAAAAAAAAAGAAGATTTATTCTTAACACAAGAGAAAAGACCCTGGGAAACCAAGTTAATGATCAAAACAATTAAAAAATAACAATAAAAACCTATAAAACCCCTGAAAACCATACATTTCACACCCGAGCCTCAACTCTCGCGGCCTGGTACCAAACGACTTGGCCGTGAGAGTTGGGGACCGCTGTTTTAGGATTATCAGAAACTTCAGCAGAGTCTTATTGTCATGGCTTCCAAAGCTTGTGAGCATAGTGCAGCCTGAGGGCTGGCAGTCCATTGGCATAGCCTCTCTTAACATTTAAGCTGGTGGGCAAGCCCATAGCTTCAGCCTGGCAGCTTGATTCTTTAATGAATAGCAAAAACAATACAAAAATAGAAAAATGCTAAGCTTTTTCATTTACTTCTATTTGTAGTTCCTCTTTTTTAATTAATTTTGTTATATTATTTACTTTCCTGAATAGATGTACATTTTTTTCTTCTATGTCTTGGCTAGTCTGTTCTTTTTACGGCACTCATATATTAACTCAAAGGCTTGAAAGCATGTAACGCAGCGCTTCTCTTTGGTTATCTAATAGAAACAGAAGTTTAATCTCAGAGCAAGCTCAAGCAACACCACAGTACTGTACAAAATTTCGACTTAAAATCTGAACTTTGCAATTCTGTCATGATTGCTTTTCTTTATAATTTGCTGCAGCTACTCTCGCTGTGGCTTCTTTGATCAAGCTCTCCAGTGAGCTCTCCGAGCTGCCCCGAACTATTCCACTTCACCCTTTTTTCTGACTGAGGGCATGAAGGCTATTTATCAGCTCTATCTTCTTACATAGAGTGTGGGGATAAGCAGACAGCACTGCGCTTGCAAGACCTCTGGTGTTACTAATATAAGGAGCATTGACAGACCACTGTGGGAATCTATATACTTGTGCGCCTTTGGGGGATTTGTCTCTTGGTGATATTAAAATGCAAATTGTGAAACTGCAATAGTAGGCGGCTTCACGACACCCATGTATGGCGAAGCCTCAGTGGCATGAACAATATTTAAAGTAACTGTTTGATCTTTTCTGCCCCTTGGCTGAGAGAAAATAGCTGCTGAGGTAGCTTAACCACAACTTAGTAAGCTTGACTAAAGGAACACTGAATCCAAATAATCATTATGCAGCTCATTTGAACAATTCACTATACTCCCATAAGTTAAAGCCGGCGGAACAAGCAAGGGGAGTTTCAGAGCTAACCTGTTGAAAATGATCTGTTTCCATGAAATTATGCTCTATGCAGTATTTTTACAGCATCATTTCAATCCTTTGTAATGTCTGACAATCCTGCCTCTCTCTCTCTACCTCTTTTGTAGGAGGCCTTGATTAGTGCCTGGCTACAGTTCAGTGACGGCTCTGTGGCTCCACTAGACCTCTACAATCCGGACTTTTTTGTCCTGACAGCCACTTCACTAGACGAGGAAGTCGTGACAGTGCAGCAGGACCCTTCCTGGAAATGGCCTGTCATTGTGACGGAGGCAGAGGGTCAAGGCCTGCTGGTCAGGATGGAAATGACTGTTAGTGAAGTGTGCCAGAAGTTCAAGCGACGCAGCATTATAGCTGCGGGGAACTGCAACATCAAGGTGAAGTTTGGCCATAGTGACAGCTCAAGGGGAGGGAGCAGCGACTATGGTCCTGATGGAGATGATATGGAGAACAGGGGCAGGCTCTCCTCCCAGGACAGGACTGGCCTTGACACACACTATTACGGTAGTTCGATCTCTGACATGGAGGATGGTGTGCTGAAGAGAGCCACCACAACGAGAAGCGCAATAATCCGCAGACCCAATGGGGATAAACTTTCAGTGGATGGTAGCCAGAGCATACCAATTGACTTTGCTGACTTCCCCGCACAAGTAGATCTACCCCGTGGTCGCAATGTGGACGACGAGCTCATTCAGACTGCCCGAGGGCTCACAGACCTAGAAATTGGCATGTACGCCTTGCTCGGGGTCTTCTGCCTCGCCATCCTGGTCTTTCTTATTAACTGCATTTCCTATACGCTCAAATACCGTCACAAGGAGCTCTCCATCGAGGGCCAGGAAAACATGAACCATGCTCACGACTGGGTGTGGCTGGGGAACGAGGCCGAGCTGCTGGAGAGCCAAATCAGCCTTTCGCCTCAGCAGGAAGAACAGACCTCCATGATAGACTCAAGCAGCGGCCTCGAGGAGGGCAGCCACTTACTGAACGGAGGCTCTTCCCAGAAGAGCGTGCCGAGCCAAGTGCATCGGGCGGCAGACACAGGCTGCATAGCCAAGGACAGCAAAGGAGACTCCCCCACCACCAAGAGAAAGCGAGTTAAGTTTACCACGTTCACCACTATCCCCTTGGACAATAGCTACCCCACTGTTAGCACACTGACTGGAAGCCACAGCCATGACATTAAGTGGGTGTGTCAAGACGGGCAGCTTGGAGACTCCAAGGAGTTGCGCAGTTACATGGAAAGGTTAAATGACAGTGCTTTAAAAGAGGTGGCATAATGTACTGTGTGCACTTGTGACAAACTCACCCATATGCCTTCCAGCCAGCGGAGAGTGGGTCTCAACAGAAACCAGATCCACAGTTGGTGATCGAGGAGCAAATTTACTTCAGAATCAACCCAAACTGCCAAAGGGTCATTAAACTTTGCGAGAAATGTCATGATTCCACATATGACTGATGATAAATCACTGACAAAAAACATGAGGTGGTTCTTTTGTTTGTCAGATGGTTGCCACTTAAACATTGTTTTATTATTACACGATTTAGAATCGTGCAAGGATCCCAGAACTGATCTGCAGCAAAGCATATAGAGTTTAAAACGAACAGTGACGTGACTAGATAGATATTCCGAGTGTGTGTGTGTGCACATTAAATGGCTTTGGAAGTTCTGTATCAATTTTGGATTTCTTACATGAGAGTTCTGGAAAGGCCAAAGCAAGTCAAGACAAATCTGCATGTTGTTCGGGGGGAAAAAGAAAAGAAAAACAAGAATGGCACAACTTTCCAGTTCATTGTCATCCTCCTTAGCAAGGCATACGACCTGTTATGTATATACTGAACAATCTCCAAAGCATTGTACTGTTGCTCTGTATATTGTATTTTCATAACATTTAAGGAATACACAGTAATGTCAAGAGTGTGCATCAGCTTTTATTGACTGCAGCATTGTGAGGCATTGAGTCTTTAGACTGGAGAAGGTGAAGCCAATTACACACTGATCTTTGTATCAAAGACTATTTATAAGATGTAATTTACCTACAAGCAACAACACAATCTAATCTCGTTTAATACTGGCCAGTGAAGAAAAGCATCAATACTCTCATCTTGTCCATTACAATCCAGTACCCTGACACCACAGCCAGTATATGTGAAGGAGCTTTTAAACCAAATGGCTGACCATCATGATAATGTGACATTTCCCAATACCGCCCTCTCAGTTAAAAGTTTTTCAAGGTTTGAAGAAAATACCAATTAACACCTCTGTCCCATAATTACACGCAAGGTAGGAAATATTACCTTTTTTTGGAAGTGGATCTTTTATTATTCAGATAATTGCACAAATAATAATCTTCTCTGAAAACTTCCTAAACAAGGGCAGTCGGCTGAAAAATTGCATTTTGCTCAGCGAACGTTATTATCATCACAGTGGTGTTAGGGAATTGTGTGTGCGTGAGTGTGTTATTATTTTCCATCAAGCAGAGAAATGTTCACATTATGTTAACCGTTGCCGCAGTATGAATCAGGTTGTTAATCAGGGGCATTGTCAATATTATTCGTTTCAGCAAATAGTGGCGCTACCTTGAGTAGAATTGGGGATGTCGTATAGAATAGCTTACTTCTGTCAGCATTCGGCACTAAATGGAGCCCCACCAGATACCTACACAGAGGTTTAGCAGCTTTTCCAGCTATTTTTCTGCCTATTTCCCTTATCGTGTGTCAGCTGAGAAGGTTTATACCATTTTCATGTCCGCACATTAGCTTAAACATCACACTACAGAGGCCCCAGTCACAGAAGACCCCCAAGCAATCTTTAGTTGCTAAGGGAAATGTGTTTCCCCCAACTGGTTGGTCAGTCATTGCTGACTGTTGGACCGAAAACCTATTCATGATTACTTTGGTCGCTAGCAAATTGCCCCAATCAACTGTAGTTTGCACGGAAGACACCAGCTTGTCTGTAAAGACTTGCTAACTTCTACAGGAGCAGTAGTAGACTTAGGTTGTGCCTGCTGCATCTGACACATTTCAAAAGGTCAAATTTTTACTTTGAAGACTAACACTCTCTGTTTCACTACCATTTAGCGAGTAGTTGGTGAGCGTTAGCAGACAAGTTAGCCTCTTTCATGCAAACTATAAGTAATAGTAGCAATCTGCTAGCAAAAAAGTTTTTGTTGCGGCTAACTGGCAGTAAATGCTACTACAAAAACATACAGGTAACATAATTTTCTTAGCTAACCCTTATCAAAGAAGAATATGTAATAATATGCATTATTTTTTAAATGTATAACTAATGTTTTCTGGTGTTGCAGTGTTTTAAGTGCTGATATTTCTAAACTGGGGTAATTCAAGTAGAAAAAAATTAAGACATCTATGAGCAATGTAACACGCACACACACCGTGATACACACAAACAATTATGTTCTGTCACCATGTCGTGATCCGCTTCATTTTGTGGGGTTTTCCCGCTTCTGTGGCTTTAGCGTTATCTCCAGGGGACTGAAGCGGGGGTCACAGCTGCTGCGCTCAGTCGGTGGACCGTGAAGGGCAAGGAATGCCTGTGTAGATATGGGAGGGATTTAACTGCCAGCCACAAGGGTAATGATTGATGGAGGGCCCCGGTTAATTAAAACACCACTGCAACTCTCTTTCTGCAACCACTGTTGGTGGCTTCAGCCTCTTCAAGTAAAAGCAATACAACCCATTAAAGGCACACCACATTCACCCCCTTGGGCTCCAGTTGTGGATGTGCTCATACCTGCTGGGATGTAGCACACGAAATATAATGGCTGTATTCACTTCGGTTCATGGAGCATGTTAACTCAAGTCTCATTTTTGTTGGCCTTGAAGTCTTGACTTCATGAAAAGGGAAAGGAGAAAAAAAAAGCTTCCCCAGGCCTCCATCTTAAATGGATTTTTAATTAAATTGATGATGTGAGACCAACAAACTCTCACTAATGGTTGGCTGTGCTCCCTGTGGTCCTAATGTGCCGAGCCCGAATTTGCAATTTCCAAAAGATTATTCGCTGTTTGATTTATGTTGCTTCATCTGAATTCATTTTACCGTCAGTTCACAGCAGGTTCACGACAGCTAAATGTACACAACCACCCCGCTGGAGAGGAGCGAAGAAACAGCCAACAAGGTCGGCTTGACATTCCGGTCCGACCGATTCTTACAGATGGAGTCGCAGGGAACTAGAGGCAACATTGTTTACAACGCCCCTGTGCCAAATCTGTCTCCTGTAAACACAATCTCCCACCTGACCAGCAGACCACATTGGGAAGATAAACACCACAGCACACATGAACAAATGTTCCCTTGTCTTACCATCTTTGTATGGTCTCTCAGGCAAAGTCCCTACCCACAAGATGTAAAGCTCTAAAAGAAAAAAAAAAAAAAGGTCACAAATATGTTTTTTCCAAATAAAAGTAAGTAAATTGTACATCTGTTAGAGACTGATTCAACTGCACACTTAGTGAACGAATGAGTGAGTACATCATGAAATAATTTGTGTCGGAGTGCTTCAAAACAACCAAGAGTGCGCGTGTTTCTTATAATGAAGACATCACCCAGTGCAGCAGCGAGTGTTTATCCTTTTGGACAAAAGAGGGTCTCTGTGGCACAGAAAAAATGTGCTAGTGTGTTAGTTGTGGAGATTATTCATTTGTAGTCAGTTAATTAGTTTTTGTCTTTTTTTATGGGATTTCTTGAAAGTAAGAAATAAACAACCCTGTGCAGGTATTTTTGCCCTCCAGAACCAACAAAGTGATCTCAGCACAAGCTCACAGGTACAGAGTATCAGCGATAACTCAGAACTCCAGCAGCTATAAACAACTACAGTAGCTGGCGAAAGGCTCAGCAGCATGACTCGAGCACCCAGCCATGTCATTTAGATGTATTGGCCCACTAGTAAGGGCAACATGCACAGGGGAGCGACATATCAGGCAGTGCTCTCAGGGAGGCTGAGGAATTTTTCTTCCTGCTGAAGAACAACAGAAGGTCAGAGGGCTACCAAGATACACCTGGCACAAATGGTACTCCTCAGAGTGGCTAAAAAGATTTATCTTGATACCTGTACTGTTTTATGGGAGTCAAGTCCCATTCTGCACAAATAGGATACTCTAAACCACGGGGCATGCACATAATAACTAAGGCTGATGCCGTAAATCCAGATGGATGTACGCTGTTAAAGCGTTTTTACGGTTGCTTATTTCACACATCATCTGTCTGAATGAACATCCTCACCTGCCGCCTCGCTCGGTCCTACAGAAATCAGTCTTACAAGCGACAAGACAAGCACATTTTCTGGAACAAGAGATTGGGAGAGGTTATGTTATCCTCAGCACGACTTCTTCGTTGGTGTGGCATTTCAGAAACGTATCAGACACGAGTTTAACAACCCGCCCCTTGTCCCACTTAGATTCCCCGGACTCCAGGATGCCGCGTGATTAGTTCGAGGTAAATGCTGATGATGAGTACTTAGAGATGAGTGATTTGTCTGCTTGGCTGTTTTCTTAAACGTTGTGTGTGCATTAGCTTATCCTAATTAACATGCAGCGATACCTCCTAATCCTCCAATTACTGGAGCAACATCTTAGGGAGCATCTGACGGCCGTTCATTACACAGGTAAGACTCAGTAATACAATTAAAATCAGCTTAACATTCTGTAGATTAGCCCGCCTCGCACCCCTGAAAAATCATTGACATACAGCACGCACAGTGGTCTTAATTGAGAAGTATGGAGACGCACAGACCAGAATTCACAAATGAAAACTCTTTATGGGATTAAACTTTTTTTCTTTTTGTTCGCAAGGAAATACTGTTTGATACATGTCTGCTTAGTACTAAAGATACTTGGTGTAATAGTGCCTCTAATTAAAACTTACAGTCATAATTTAATCTTCAGTTTCTGGAAGTCTTTCGTCTTTTACTTGATCTTTTATCACAACTGTGTCGCACAGACTGCAGACAGAACAGGGATTCAGCTACATCCATATTGTTTGTAAAGTCCTGTTTTAAAGCCTTCATTTTAGTGTCTTGGCCAACTGTTGCCAGTTTGAGTTTTTTTGGGGCCACATATTATCATTTGGTGTTGTTGTAAGCTAGCGCTAACTTTTGTCCTTTAATTCAAAGGGGTGAGTTCAAAGGAAATCTAATCCCATGGAGCGGTCCTACAGGTGGAGAGAGATGGCAGAGATCAACACTCCACTTTGTCCCAGAATATATAGTAAAGTGAGGCATTGCATCACATCTCGAATCAGAACATTTTCTGGACAACCATCTCTAAGATACATAAACATTTTATGGCCCAAAGTTTGAACACTTATTATGGTTACTGTGAGATTTTAGCTTGAGATATAGAGTACTTTTCAAAATATATACATCTATTGAGCCACATTCAGACCATTTTTTGGGACATTGAAATCTGAAGCAAGGTAGGATCCTGAATATCTCATTAACTATTAAAGATGATAATACTGAATGAAAACGTGGATGAAAGAAAAATGGATCAACGCATCATTTTCAAAAAACTATATCTTGCAAAGTATTTAATATATGAAGCTAGAATTTCACAGGAATCATTATATATTTCCAAACTTTGTACCAAAGGGTTTTGGCGCTTCTGTTTGGTAGTTTCAAAACCAAGACAGAGTTTAAAAAAAAGACAACACCTAGAACTAAGTACTCATCCAATCATGTAATACAGCAATGACTTGTGAGCAGGTAAAGTATTTTTGTATTAGCTGTATCTGATGTGAAACCATTGCAAGACTCTCACTTTAACATAATGATCGCTAAAGGCAGAAAACAAATTGAGTTTCCATTATAGACTGCATATAAAAGATGGTTGTAGCCAAGCTGCAATTTGTGACACCACCCCAGAGAAAAAAGAGAGGCCTTAA